TTTTTTAGATTCCATTTTTTTTAAAATTGTAAAATTTTAAGGAACATATAATTCTATAAACTTATAATTTGTGATACATTTTTAATATAACTAACATGCTACAATAGAAAATGCTCCTTAAATATTATATCATACAATATTATTTTTTGTACTAATTAAAATTTCACATTGGCATTTTTTTAGCGTGTCTAATTACATTTTTAAGCCTAATTTGAAACTAATATAACTACATGTTCTATATGTTTTTAGTTATTCATATTTTGCCTACAAATGTTCAAAGTGTAATATATCACAACACATAATTTCACACTAAACAAATACATAGAGTTTTTAACATTATTTTCGTCACTTCAAATAATTGCCGTTGTATAGGTACACAGTTTTTTCACAAACATAAATTCAAAAAGTGTACTCATTTATAATTTTAGATGACTATAATGATTGTGATTTTATTTGTTTATTAATTGATAAATGATAAATTCAGAACAATTACTAGTTATAATTAAGACTAAATTATAAATGATGATGCTTTTATTACGAATTATATTAAATTTGTTAAGTGTCATATTATAGCAAAGAATGGGTTTATTTTAAGTTCTATTTATTTACTTTTTGTAATTAGGTTTTAAAATATGCGAGTAATGTAAAATCCCATAAACTTAAAAAAATGGTTTTTCAATATTCCTATTTTATATATTTTTTTAACCTATTGAATTTTTTTTCTTTCGATAATAAGCGATTTTCTAATAGTAGCATGAGTACTGGATGTTTCACATAATCTAATTTATACATTATCTTAAAAAAAAAAAAAACTTATTATACTTAAGAACTAATGTATCATTAAATAAATTCAATAAATAGCTAATATAGCAAAACATTGCCTTATTGTATACTTAATTTATTCAAAAAATGTCTTACCACCTTAGAGGACTCATTTTAAGTGTGCAATTTGCAAAAAGTTCATGTGATACATGGCATTTTTGGAATTCATAAAATTACCTTCATTTGTACCCTTCACTAATTGAAAAATAAGGTCCAATATTTTAAATGGAAATATTTGTTGTGTAAAACTATTGATATATTTTTAACAGCTTATGTTTCACAAAAGGGCCAATACAATGCCTAATTTAATATATATCTTTTTTAATTTTGTTAGAATAATTTGACATTTTGTTTAACCTTTCGTTGCATTTTTAGATAATAACACACGAAATAAATGCATTACCATTTCATCATTTTGCCAATGAGTAAATGATTAGACAAAAGTACAACAAATAGTTGAATTCTTATTTCAACAACATAATAGGTTTTCTAAAATATACATATATATATTAATAATATATGTTGTCTATGTGCATTTTTACTTTTTATTATCATAATACTATTTTATCCCTTTTTCATCATAAAAATGTATTATAAAGGAACGCATTTATGTATGACATGAAGTAAGTAAAATTTTATAACGTAATAACTGTCAACAAAAATAACAAATTGGTACGCGTATGTCTTTTTTTTTAAAATGGTATACACATTTATTTAAACAATAATACTATACATTATTAATTTCTTGTCCATACAGATGTGTAGTGTATATATATATTTCTTTTTTAATGAGATATATTTTATATAAGTTTTTAATATAGATTACTTTTTTTTTCATAATATGTTAATAGTATACTCCTAACTTAAAGGGAAATTATTCTATAAACTTTTTAAAGCTCCGATTTTAACTTTTTCACAAGACAATATTACATTATAATAATTTGTTTAGAAAACTTTGTTATAAACAAATATAGAATATAATTGCAATATTATTCAACCTTCAACTTGCAGGAAATTTCTACAACATTCCCTTTAACAAAATGAGCAGTGTGCTGATTATGTTAATGCATATTATAAAAAAATACTCTTTAGGTCGAAAAAAGAAAAATAAAGGGGTCCATATATAAACACAAATGGACATAAATCCCATAAGAAAAAATTGAAATAAAAATTTTTAATAATATTTAAACATCAAATTTCAATTTCCAATTTTTTAATTCTTAAACAAAAGGTTCCTTTTACGTGAAAATGCAAGACAACAAATTTAAAGAGCCATTTAATGATCATTTATAATTTTAATATGACGTGAAGAAATGTGCTGAGAATTCACAAAAAGTAAGAGGTTTAACTTTTACCAAAATGTACTGTGTCACATAAACAAGTAATTAAATTTATATCTAGCTGTTGATTTTAAATGAATTTTCTTGTCCACCTACACATAAGAAGATTCTTAAAATAAGATCCCCTTACACGTAATTTAAATTACCTTCTAAAGCATTATCATTAGCTTGCAGAAAACAAAACAAAAAAAAAATAAAATATAATAAAACAAGCAAAACTTAATTTCACATCAAACAAAATAAAAAAAATATATATATGCAACAATAAAATAAATATAAAACATTTCAAATATATAACATATTTGGTACACCTTTAAAAAAATCAAATTTATGTAAGGCACATAAAAGTGTGTTTAAAGTCAAAATGGATATTAATAATTTAAGACCACTACAAAGTGATATTTATTTATAACACTCCTAATGAAAACATCTTAAAATAAATTTTTATTATATGTGTTTATAAATCAATAAAAAAATTGTGTAATACAAAAAAAAAAAAAAAAAAAAAAAAAAAAAAATGCGCCTTATACATATAAAACATTTATTAGAAATATTTAGAAGTTAAAAAATAACTACAGTGGCATGTAAGAAATAGTGCAATCTATCTTTATATGGTAATCCTCAATTACGTGAGCTGAACCTTTCCATCATGAATTTCAAAATTATGAATTAACTCTGACACATGAATCCTTAATTATTATAATAAAAATGATTAGAACTATGAAAATACCACTAAATTTTCTCATATATCTATTTTTCACTCTATGTTTTTCGAAGAAAACATATGTTTCATAAATTATCCTCTGCAAAATTTCGCGGAATGTGCTTTTTCATATATATAGAAGCATTGGAATATTACCAAACTTTTCATGGCACCTTTTATTAACATTTACAAAACACACTGATGAAATAACTTATAATATATTCAGGCAAATATAGTGCGTACTTTTTTTTTTTTTTTATCACACATGTAAATATAATATTAAAAACCAATAAATTTTGAAGTTATATTTAATATGTTTAAAAAAAAAAAAAAATACTTTTAAAAAATATTCCGGGTAAAATTCTTTAACCTAAAAAAAAAATGCGTTAATGAAAATAATTAAAAATAAATAGATGATTTTACTTTAAAATTATTTTTTAACACACTATATATAAAATAAATCGCTATTATATTTTATCTTTTTTATTACCAATTTCTTTCGCTTATTATGCATTCCTGAACTAATATTTTTTAGCTAAAAGTATTATCTTCTATTTAAAAATAAATTAAAATTTTAATAGTAATACTGAAGTACATTAATTTTCATAAAGTGAATCTTTGTAAGCAATACACAAAAAAAAAAAAAAAATTAATAAAATGTTTAATGAAGATAAAATGTAAAGAATTTCAACTAGTATCCTATGTTCACAAAATAAAATAATAAAATTTTTATGTAGTTACATCAATAATCCTTTTCGTAAAAAGAATGTGCTGTAGAAAAAATTAATAGGTGCAGAACATATATTACTTATATACCCATTCATAACATATACACAATAAAATTATTACTTTTAAATAAACGTGTAAGTTATTTATAGAATATTGTTGTTGTCACATTGAAATAAATATATATATATTTATACGATAAAAGAGTTATTTTATGATATATATTTTTTTATATTACTTATACATATTTAATATTTTGCATTCTACTATTTTATACAACAACAACAACAACAAAAAAAAAAAAAAAAGAAAAAAGTAAATACTAATATAGAGTGGATAAGCTTCAATATGCTATATATCTCATCCAAAAAAAAAATTTTTATAAAAATTAAAAATTTTATAATAATCTATGGAATATATACACACCCCAGGTCATTCATTGCGCAAATGTGACCCTTTAATTTCTCTCAACTTATATTTTTTTCTTTTGTACTTATACATCCAGAATAAAATGGAAAACCTTTATGAATTGAAGCGGTAATGATAGTTTTGCATTTCTATCTAATTTTTTTCACTAAGCATGTTGTATTCAATACTTGAATATAATATATCAGATAAGAAAGATTATTAAAGCATCCCTTCTTAGATATAATTGCTTAACCATTAACTTATATTACGTAAGCGCATTAACTCTAATGCGCATATTTATATTTACATATATATGTGTATATGAATATACTTTTTCCCCAAAAAATTAAATATGGGGACAATAAAAATAATTTGAGGAAATCTGAACAAGAAATATTACATATTTCGAAACTGTACGTTATAAACATATTTTTTCGAATAATCTAGTAGTGCCTATCATTCATACACAAAGTATACACTGAAGGTTACCTTAACAATAATAAACGAGATGGTTAACGTTTCTACAAATATTAGGAACTCTTCAAAGAGATTCAATACACTGAAGGTACAAAGGTTCCTCTAAATATAAGCAAACATTATTCTATGGTCTATCCTAGATACAGAAATAATATTTAATTATAGAAATAATTTATACACCTTTTAAGAAGTCTTATTGTACTACATACCTAAATGGAAAAAAATTAAGTTTTTCTATAACTTTTTTAGTATTTGAAATTTTTTTTGGACAAGAAATTATAAAAAAAAGTAGAGAAGAAGGGGCTTAGTCATTTTGCTGTGAAATGTAAAACGTGCAACCATAAAGGAGTGACATGATAATTACGATCGGCTATATTAAAAGAAATGTGAAAAATATGCAGAATTCACTCAATAAATTAAAGTTGTAATATTAAGAATTATTTCGCAAATGGATTATTATGCGCTTTATTTTTTTTTATATTTTTTTTTCGACGTAAAACGAGGTTACAAGAAAAATTATTAAAATGATAGCAATATATATAGTTTTAATATTAAATTTTGCCATTGTAATGATTCAGGAAGTAATAAGTGCACAAGTGTCACAAAAACCCGTTACTCCAGGTGAACCAAGTGTACTTCCAGAGGCAAAACAAATATTATCTAAGGCTGTTTTGGCAGGAGATAATGTAGTAGAATCTTTTCGATTAGGAATACTTTGTGAGATTATTAAGGATCCTAACCATGTTCTTTGCGAGAATAAGGAAATAGCCATTTCTCTTGTATTGTTTGTTATTTCGACTGTGATTAGTACCATATATACCATTATTTCTAGAGTAAAGAAACATTTTCTTTAAATAATTGCATATTATATATATATATATATATATATATATATATATATATATATATAAATTTCATGTTTATCTTTAAGAATATTTCTTTTCCATAAACGTATTTTATATATATTATACATTCCATTTTTATTATTATTTTTTTTTTTATTAGATTATTAAGAGCATAAGATCATCTCGTAAGACAAAGAAGCGCTTTAAAAAAAAGAAAAAGAAAAAGGTACATGTACAAAAAGAAGAAGATGAAGAAGAAGACGACGACGACTATGATGATGACGATGATGACGATGATGACGATGATGAATATGATGAAGACGATGATGAATATGATGATGAAGCAGAAGATGATTTTCATGATGGAAGTACGCTTAGGGGAAGGATACTAAAACGATTTAGACCCAATCACCAAATTTATCAGCAGATAATGCAACAAGGATCAATGCTACAACCACAAATGTTACATGTACAAATGCTACAACCGCAAATGTTGCAACCACAAATGCAGCAACCACAAATGCAACAACCACAAATGCTACCATCACAAATGTTACAACCACAAATGCTGCAACCGCAAATATTACAACCACAAATGCTACAACCGCAAATACTACAACCACAAATGCTACAACCGCAAATATTACAACCACAAATTCTACAACCACAAGCAGCGTACCCAGAATGTCATGACAACGAGACAGATAAAAAAAAAAAAAAAGAAAAATTGAAGACATTATTCAAAAATAAACGAACACATACAACTGAAGATACAGTTAACTTAGGATATCAACCAAAGGTACAATAAAAAACCAAATATTGTGAAGTGTATTATTTGTATGTTAGGCATTATGATAGAGAAACTATTGTAAAATATATTCAGAAACAAAAAAAATTAAAACAAAATAAAATATGGGAACGAATACAGATATCAAATAGTGTAAATGAAATATAATATTAGTGAAAAAGTAATATACGTGTAACATTTTAACATCCCTTTAAGTGAAATAATATCATTAATGGTAAAATAATGTTATACATCCCCTGGGTAATAATAAATTGATAATAGAAAAGTAAAACAATTGTCATTTTGAATTAAAAGATAATTCAATACAAAAAAAGTTCCGTATCGATGTGCTCTAGTGAATTAATTCAGAAGCAAGTGATGTTATATGTTCACACATAAATATAAGAATGTAAATAACAAAAAACTTATATGTAGAAAATATTTTTTAATATATGCTATAACAAATGATAATATTAGGAAAGCTAAATGTGCATTATAGACGTTACTAAAATTTTTTTTTTTGCATTTATAAAGATTATAGATAATTATTAGAGAGCGTCGCATGTATGCAGTGTAACTCTTGAGGCCAGAACAAATATAGTTTTCCATTTTGTTATTTTTTTTCTTTGTACAAAAATAATTACATGGTAGACAAGTTATTGGCATAAGCGCTGTATATATAATAGTATAATAAGTAATCTAAAAAAATATATACATACATATATATATAAGCAACTTTATAGAAGATTAATTTATAAAAAAAAAAAAAAAAAAAAAAAGGAAAATCAACATTTGAATAACATATAGCTAATTAATGTGGTATTTTGTATTAAAAAAAAAAAAAAAAAAAAAAAAAAAAATTTAAACATTTTATGCTTATCCATTTTATCAGATTAACAATATAACTATAATAAAAATGTGTAACGTATAGAATAATTCCAGAAAAAAAATTTATAAAATTACACTTATCTGAAAAGAGCCTAGTGTAAAACAAAAATATAAAATATACACAGAAGATATTTAAGAAGAAAGAGATATTATTCAAAGGTTCACTGAGTAACATAATATGTTAAAGTTTGAGAATGAGCTTCTAACGTTCAGGCGATGTGTACGAGAAAATACATGTTTAATGCTTAAGAGAATAATATTACACACGAAGTATTTTTTTGAGGTAAAAGTATTATAATGATATATGACAAAACAGAAATTGTTAACTAACATCATGGAGCACAAAAAGATAAAAAGGCGATTTTACCATATTCTTCATCTTGCTTTTGTTCTGTAAGTGAATCATAAAATATAATTGATAAATTATGACGAAAGTATTACGTAATAATAGTTCTTTATTGTACCTGGAATACACAAATATCTTATAATATCTGTGGATGTAAAAAAATAATGTATAAAAAGCACCTGAACTGTTTTGCCAATTCTTCTTTTCAGAAAATGTTAAAAGCGTTAACATGTATATAAAGCAGAAATTATTAAAGTTCTATAATATTTATTATATTCAAATTTTTACTATTTGAAAATGTATTCATATGTGTATGTATTTGAGTTTGTCTGAAGCTTCAACGAATTTGCCATTGTTATGTAGTCAGCTTAAAATGTTTTGATAACCTAATTCAAGTCTTCATATAAAAAAGCGATTTTTTAGTGACACGATATAAATAGATTTAATCAGAATAACAGACTTTTTAAAAACTTGAATTTTCAGGATTTTTTTTTATTGACAGTTCAAAATAGATTAATGCGCATAAATGTTTGTGACTCTATTATTAACCAAAAAAATAATATGCAAAGAAACACATAATATAACAATGGCGAATTTATTTGTTACAATTTTAAATTACATATCAATTTAACAAGTTACTTTATATTAATTCATAACATTTTTAGTAACCTATATAGTATATTATATTTGGATAAATTGTGTTATGGACTAATATGAAAAAAAAAAAAAAAAAAAAAAAAGATTAAATGAATGATAATGCAGGATTATAAAGACAATCATTATTTGTAATTATTATTTTATTAATTATATCATTGAAACATTTGTAACATTCTTATACGAAATGAAATTTGGAGCACAGAATGCACAAGCCATTTTCACCCCCCAATATATATATATATATATATATATATATATAATACATGTGTGTTTGTATGTTGTTATATCAATATATACATACATATATATATGTTTAAGAATGTTTATATGTTTTTTATCTCTTCATTTATCTTTCAGTAAATTTTATTTTCCAATGCCACATATATTTTTTTGATAAGAAATAATTGTTCAACAAAACATTTAATGAATATTTTTCGGTTTTTTGTGGAATTATTAGGTTCATGAAATTCATTTCCTGTGAACTATTTGACTTAATTTAATTTTTTTAAATTAAAGAAATGAATATTTCACTACACACCATATTACTGAATATATATTAATTAATTCGTTGAAGTAAATATAAGACATTAACTTTTTTTTTTTTTTTTTTTTTTTTTTTTATGTTCCCGTTATAAACATTGTTATTCTTTTATTAAATTATATTAATACCTGTATTTTTTAATGATCGTTACGCAAACTATTTAATGATAGAAAAAGTTATGAGGTTGATCATATTATAAAGATCATCATTGAATTTTTTCTTTTTATACGGACATATCCATCTATAAAGTAATTTTTTTTTTTTAGGGTAAAATTGTTATAGCCAATAACTACGGCTATTGTTCCAAGATAATATAGAATGCTATAATTACTAAATAAATTATATTTTCATTTTCTTTTTAACATCCCTTTTTTTTTTTTTTTTTTTTTTTTTCAACGTAATATAAGAACTTCTGTCTACATTTAAATATTCACATAATGATCTACGCTGGAATATGATATATTTAAAAATTATCTTCTTCTCGTATACATTTAATGGAATAGTACAGTGACACTTCAAAGATCTAATAAATTAGTTTTATTGAAAATATTTTCTCAATTTTAACTTAGTTATTGTAACACATGTCACTGTATTTAATAAAAAATAAAATTTCTCTGAAATGAGTAAGTACATACATTGGACCATTCTATAAAGTATGCCATTGCAATTATAATAGCAATGCATTACTATAATATACATATACAAATATGGACGCAATTTAATTTATTCCGGTATATATATTAAAATTATAAAAATAACACATTAAACATGCTGATGCCACAGTTTAAACCCTAGTCAATAACTTGATATGGTTATTAACTGATTCTAGTAATTAAGAGTTCTTTTTTTAGCACTATTCTATTATGATTACTATTTCCTGTAACCATAATTAATAAAAATATGTTCCTCCTTTTTTATATAATTTTTATCGAACATAATAGTTATCATTTTACTGCTTCATGAACCAATAAATAACAACTTCAACAATCCTTTTAAATAAATTTTTTGATTAACATACACTCTGTATATTTGACTTAACCAATAATATGCATATTTTTACAAATTGTAAAATGATTCTGAAATAATGTAATGCAGATAATTATAACAACATTTTGTCTCAAAGGATTAATTAGATCTAAAATTTTAGTAACTTAATAGATGTAGTTATGCAAAGAAAAAAAAAAAAAAAAAAAAAGGAGCTGATTGCAAAATATATATTGTCTACATGTTAAGCATCATATGATGTGAATAGACTTCTATAACAAAAAATGAGCAAAGTGTGTTTAATTTATTATTTTCATATACTTGTAATATTTTATTACTAGGTATTTTTTTATTTATAATTATTTTTTAATGCTACTGATAGATGACATTTTTGTAAATAAATAATATATTATTTTTTTTTTTTTTTTTCTGTTATATTACATACTAAATTTATGTGTCTTAGATTATGAATAAACATTATTTATAACACAAATTTAATATTTTTAATGACATCTTACCATTGAAGAATCAGTGTAAAAATAATATATTGTTAGCAGTATTATTTCATACATAAATGTGAAAAAGGAATTCCATGAATAAATGATGTTTTTCCAAAATTTTAAGGAAACATGGTCAATATGACAACAAATAAAAAAAAAAAAAAAAAAAAAAAAACAGTTTACACAAAATATTATTATGTATATATTATGTGCTAAAGTCCATCGTTAACTTTCAGAAAATAAAAAAATATGTAAATGAAAAATGATATAAAAATATATATACATACCAATATAAGTTTAAATAAAATATACTAAAAAAATTTATTAAATTACTCAACAAAAGTCTTATTTAAATATACATTATTAAGTTAAAGCATATACAACGAAATTATAATTTTTTGTGTCCTCAAAATAAATGTTATTAAATATTTCTTTACAAATCGCACACACCCGAAATAATAAAAAATACCCCATAATAAAAAAACGAACATATAAGAAAAATTGCATTTTCTAACAAAATGTTATTATTTATGTTACCTTGTATTTTTAAATAAAATTAGTATGTTTATTAAAAAAAAGAAAAAAAAAAAGTGTGATACTTTACACACCAATGTGTTTATGGAATATTATTCAGAAATTAAGAGAATTATTTTAGTCTTTTTTTATATTTATATTTTTTTTTTATTATATTGTGCAGAACACCTATATTAAATGAGAATTTATGATAAACTCTATATGTACGTGTGAAATAACCCTTAATATATCAATCCCTAATTACATCAATAAATAGAAAGTTAAAACCCAATAAATCATCTTATGTAGCTACTTACTATCACTTTATTTTCCAAAAAGAGAGCCTAAAGATTTGGTATATTATATAACCCCATTTGTAATCACACAAACTGTTATACCCCATTAGAATATAAAAGTATTGTAAATCTTTGTACTTTCCTTCTATGATAATCTATTGTAAAAGTAACTCTCATGTAATGGAATTTCTATATTTTTAATAATAACGTTGATATATATTTATTTATTGTATATATGTAAACATAATAAAGAATTGAAAATAGCATAAATTATAATAAATAATTGATATATGTGAAGTTCAAAAAATTGTTAAGGAAAAAGGAATATAAGCACAAAAACATTAGCTGAAGAAAATAAGCAAAAAGAATGTAAATTTCTTAAAATATATAAATTTACATAACATGTGCATAGTTACGTAATTTCTTATTTTATATTTTTTTCTTATCTAAACAAAGTTTAGCTTTGTGCCATTATTTTCATGCACTTGTAACATTAAGATAAATATGTACTAAAAATATATTATAATAAATGAAATTTTAATATGCCATTTACTATCATAAAATTGAAGCATTGCAAAATATATTAAAAAAATTAAACATATAATTTAACGTAAGTAAAATATATAAAAATAATAAATATACAAAAATTCAAGAATTACATATCTCTAAAAAGTAAAGTAAAATAGCTTAGTGTAGATAGAGCGCATAGCAGTTCTTCCCATTAGTAGAATATTCTTTAGTACAAAAAAAATTAGTTACAGCATAAGCCATATTATACTTATCTTATATGAACTTATCATCAAACAAATTTACAACAATATAATTTATGCAGTCAAAGGAACATATACATTTTTCAAACGATGGGAACTGTATTTATTTACAGGGATGTTTTAATATATAATATTTTATCATCCATTTAAATTATTTAATTGTATTTAACAGTGTTTCATTATTTTCACTGTAAAACTGAGAACATGGCAAAATATGGACGAAACATCAATATATTATATAACAAGCCCATAAATTAAACTTTAATTGTAGTAATCTAAAGATTTATAATAACATATTCAATTTATATATATGCATATATGTACAATTCGCAAATCGTTTTGTAAATATGACATGTAAATTACCCACAATTATTAGTGCAAACATTGTTCTTATATACCAAAATACAATGAAGAACCTATATGTCTTCAGGATGTCATAGGTATCATTACCTTTTAATTAAAATGCTTAAATGAAGCTTTATATAATATTTATTTGAATGCAACGATTCTCAGCTAAGAAATGATATACAATCTTGGATATATATATATTTAGCTACCAAGCAATATCACATTCTCTAATTAACATATATGTACATGTATATGTGGGCGAACTTTTATTCAAGAAATTAGTTACAGCAAAACATATATTTCCACAAAACTATATACACCTGAGAAATTACTAGAACATCATTTTAGAATTATTTTTTCATTAAAAAACAGAACTGGATGCCATTCGCATTTGTCCAACGCATTGTGATTTGCTGTAATAATCATAAACGCGATGGTTAGTATTTTCAGTAATAACGGGAACTCTACAAAGGGTACAATTCAATTGAGCATGGAAAAAATATATAATTACGTATATATATTAAAATTATTCTTCAGCATATGAAGGAGGAAATATATGTAACTATTTAAATTATTCTTGTGTATTTTACGAAGCATTATCATTATAAAACACGAGGATGCAAATAAGCTAAAATTTCCCATAATTTTATTAATATTTGAAATTTTATTGGACAAGAAATTACAAAGAATTAAAGTTCCGAGTGTGTTTACGTTTGTGTAAAATATAAAAGGTTTATTCAACATGGAATGCATAATAATATGAAAACATACTAGCTAAAGAAATATGGAAAATATGCAGAACACAAGTAATGAATTAAAAATATGTAATTATCAGTTTGTTCCAGATGGATTATCATCTTACATATTTAATATTTGTTTTAATCCCACTTATAATTAGGTTATGAACAATTTCATTAAAATTATAGTAAGTATACATATAGCTTCAGCATTAAATTTTGTTGTTACAATGTCAGAGGATGAGGGCGTTGTAGAACCTGACACTGAATCCATAGAAAAAGTTAAAACCACCGTGCTTCCGGTGGCAAGATACATACTAGGTCCCATAATCATTCTTGGAGATGAAACAGTCAATGTCCTTCAAAAATATATACTTTGTCCTCTTGTTAAAAATGATAAAACTCATATTCTTTGCGAAAACAAAGAAGTAGCTTTTGCATTCTTATTATTTCTTTTTTCATCTGTTTTTAGTATTATTTATACCATTATTAAAAAGGTGAACAAAAAAAAGTATTAAACAAAATTTTACATTTTATACAAAAAAAAATCATGTTATGTATTATTAAGAAATTGTTGTGAAATATGTGTATTAAGTATACATTTTGTTATTTTTTTTTTCTATTAGATTTATAGAATTTTGAAGGATAGTGATGGGGACAAAAAAAGTTCTAAGAAAAGGAAAAAGAAGAAAAAAAAGAAAAAAAAAGATGACAGTGATGATGAAGAAGAAGAAGAAGAAGAAGACGAAGAAGAAGACGAAGAAGATGAAGCAGAAAAAAAGAGCAAAAAACATAGGTTACAACGACAAAGGCTTAAACAACAATTTTTTAAAAATTTAATGTATCAAACTCCTATGCAATATGCTCAAATGTATCAAACTCCTATGCAATATGCTCAAATGTGTCAAACAACAATGGATTATACTCAAGCATATCAAACGCCAATGGATTATGCTCAAGCATATCAAACGCCAATGGATTATGCTCAAATGTGTCAAACATCAATGTCTTATCCACAAATGTGTCAAACATCAATGCCGTATGCTCAGATGTATTCTCAAATGGGAGTGCAACAAAATGAACAATCTCAAATTGGAATGGTGCAATATGGGCAACCTCAAGTGGATATGTCACAATATGAACAACCACAAATGGGATTACTACAATATGAACAACCTCAAATGGGAGTACTACAATATGAACAACCTCAAATTGGAATGGTGCAATATGGGCAGCCTGAAGTGGATATGTCACAATATGAACAATCACAAATGGGAGTACTACAATATGAACAACCTCAAATTGGAATGGTGCAATATGGGCATCCTGAAGTGGATATGTCACAATATGAACAATCACAAATGGGAGTACTACAATATGAACAACCTCAAATTGGAATGGTGCAATATGGGAAGCCTGATGTGGATATGTCACAATATGGACAATCACAAATGGGAGTACTACAATATGAACAACCCCAAATAAAAGAAGAAATTGATAAAAAAAACAATAAAAAAAAAAGAAAAGAAAAGAAAAATAACATAACAACTAAATCTGATGAGGAAAACGTGAACGATTATTTGTACCATATAGGATATAATCAAAATTCGAACTTGTAAAAAAATAAGAAGTAAATGGTAAATTGAATTACATGGTATTGTATACTAAATACCTGAGTACTGATAGTACACGTAATTTTATTTTTTTTTAAAAAGGAAAAAAAAAATGAGTAAAACAGGAATTAAGTATCTTAATGGAGTTTAAAAGTAATTCAATTAAGCAAAAACTTATTATATATTAGTAACATTTTCGAATTTAAATCTACGAGGTAAAAACATCAATCATAAAAGATCATTTGTTATCCTTTGTATAAACATAAACTACTGGTAACAATATAAAATACACAAAATTATAATTAGAAATTAATTAATTTAGAAATAATTTGTGAAATGATGTGCATTGGTGGTCTAATGAATATAAGGCAATAATTCAAGTATAAAACTGTTAATAAATTATACGTATGAAATTTTTTTCGGGTATATAATTTAACACATAATGTTACTACATTTACAGAATTCGTAATATTAAAAAAAAGAAATTAAATATAGAAATAGTAAATATTCATAATATTTTTGTAGCATGTACAAAATGACTTACAGTGTTATAATAAACATAGGAGATCCTAGACTTATTTTGTCCTTAAAATATAAAGACGGAAGTAGTAAATTGATTCCATCAAATTGTTATATATAAATAGATAATAAATAGTGATACAAATTTCTAAGTGGACTAAAGACATATTAATATAAAATATAACTTAACATATAATTTAATTGATCTATATGTAAGATTCCTATAATTAAAGGAAAATAATATTTAAATAGTTTTCCTAAATTAAGAACATAAATATAATAACACCAATTTATAATACATACAATGATAGAAAAATAAATATATATAAATAATTATAATCAAAAGTAGACCTGAAGAAATGAACAATAATAGGTATGACAATACTTTATGTTAAAAAATATGTGGATATTTCAAATACTCATTATACTATGTAGCATAAATAATTTTATGAATGTGTTATCAAGATTAAAGTAGAATATATTTGGAAATGTATAGGACAAGAAAATAATGTCTACATAAACATTCGAATTTTTGAGAAATAATCAAGTGTTTGACGTTAATTTTAATTGTTACATATTTTGGGAAATTTTAATTTAGACTAATATGTCAAAAGATAACTCAGTTATCATAAAATAACAGAATCGTTCAAACGTTAAATTTTCATTTATTTCAGGGCTTATTAATTTTTCTTTTAAGTACTAGTTTAGTATTTGTGTGTGTTATTTATAACAATGCGTAACATTGTTACTAATCAATGAAATAAAATGGGACAAAATACAAAATAATATGCGAAAGAATTACTTGATATATTATCAAAATATGTATATCAGTAAATCTAGGAATTATTCGATATTGTATAACAATTATAGCATCATAAATTGTGCTCAGATTCAATTTTATTATAACCAAATTTCAGAAATGTACATTGTTATAATGCTTTAAATAAAGATTATCCATTATTACTATTACAAATTTTTTGTTTACAATGAATAGTTTATATAATATATTATTAAAACATTTATAAACTTTTGATGTGTGAAGTAAAAGTAGAAGCACATAAATGTGTTAATACTTTTTTCATTCAAGGGGTTTTTCCGCTTATATATACAATTGAAATAGTGATATATGGCTATATTGAAATTCATATTAAGTATTTTATTTATTCATCTATTTTCCAACAATTTTTTTTTTTATGTGTCCTATTTGTTTCATTCCATAAAAATAAATGTGTAATAAAATTATGAATAAAATATATTATGTTTCTTCAGAATTAAAATGATGCCAAAATATGTTTCCCTTAGGTCAGAAAGTTACACTCTCTTAATAAAATGAAGTATTTATTGATTGATATTTTTGGTGACGTGTTCTGGTAAAAATTTGTTTTATTTATTTATTTATTTATTTATTCATGTATGAATATAAAAATACATATATTAGTATTTTTTTATTTGATACATTTATCCTGTATTCATGGTATAAATGTGTGGCACCTCCCCATTTCATTAATTTATATGAATATTTGTGCAACGTTATAATATTAAACGTTATTTATGTATTTTCTATAAAAAACATTTATGTGAAAATACAATATGGAGCATAATTTTTTTTTTCCCCTCAGTAGTTTGTTTAGTTACTTGTAACGTTGGCTTGTTCTTTCTAATATTATAATAATCATTTTTGTAATTTTTTCATTTATCAGAAACTATAGCTAAAATTTATATTTTTTATATAATTTTCTTTTTTTTTTTTTTTACATTTATATTCTTATACATTGAACAATTCACGTATTAATTTGTACTTACATTGAGACATAGATATAACATTTTTTATGAGTGCATGTTATATTTTAAGCTTTTATTTTTTTGTTTGTACTTATTTATAAAATTGCAAAACTTTAAGAAACGTATAATTCTGTAAAATCATAATAGTTTACGTGTTCTTAATACAATTTATTTGTTATAACATGAGTATTAAATAATGTATTATATTACAAGATGTTATTTAATATAGCAATTTAAATTGAACAGCAACCACTCTGCAAAGTTCCTATTTTAATTTTGAACTATAATTTGAACATTCATAGATTATGTTCTTTACATATTTTTGCTCATGCTATATGGTCTAAAATTGTGTAAGTATAATGTTAAATTCCAAATTATACTGTTTTACATTAATTCGTAAATTTATAGTGTTATTATGACTTATAAATTGACACAACATTCAGATCTATAATACTTTTTTGCTCTAAAGTACCCATGAAAATAATATACACTTTTGTTATTTTATAATTTTAACAAATTATAACAATTATCAATTTACTGTTTTAATGGTTAATATATAACACATTTATAAACTTTTACATTGAATTTTTGGATTGCAGCATATTTTCTATGCTTCAATTTCATAAATAGTATTATTTACTAATTTTTATAAACTGTTATATAACACATAAAAATTATAGTATAAACAATTGTGAATCTGATATGACCTTAAATTGTAAAATAGTTATATATCAATATTTACAAGTGTGTTGAAATTATAAAAAAATTTTCCGTATATTAACAAAATATATATTTCTTTCATATTAAGTACTAAATATATTTATTCTATTTATTTTAAGTGGAAAACATTTCAATAATGTTCAATTTATACAACATAACAGAGATTTTGCACACTTTTGTATATTCATATGTCCTATTAAATATACTAACATTATTAATAACATAGTATATTTTCTCTAACGTTTGTATATTCAAGTAATGTATGCACATTCTTCATAACAAAATAACTTAATGAAAAAAAAAAAGAAAAGTAACAAAATATTACGCTTAAAACTCAGATCACTACGTGTATTCATCATTTTGTCCAAACATAGTTGCAAAAACATTAACTTACGACTCAATGAATTCATGAACATAAAAAATAACAAAATACGATCACAATATGATGCTTCACATATAATGCAGTTACAAATGATAAATGATAATTTGATAACTGTTTTACAACCACTTCAACTGTAAGACTTAATTGTTAAAAATACACATTCTCTATTCGAAATAAAAGATTCTTTGCATTAATCGCTTAACACAAAATTAACACTTTATTATTTTATAATTAAGTATAAACATTACCAAATTACCGATTTGCAGTTCTTAATATGAAGAAATGGTTTTATTTGATGTTTCACTAATATTTCAAAAAAGGTAATAATCTAAAATAATATATTACTGTTTCAGTGATAAACTATCAAGTTCACAATTTAACGAGTTTATCTTATTAATAGTTACACTTTCATTAGTCTAATATTTAAAGGACCTGTGTACTAGCATAACCCTTATGAAGCAAAGAGTTTACTATTTCTTATAAAACGATAGTATTATAACATTTTGATTCCCCCTATAGCAATATTTATAAAAACACTTATTTATATGTTTTAATAAGCATTCGAAAATAGTGATAATTCATTCCAGAAAATCATAAATAATATTATATGTCTGAAATGAGTAAGTGCTTACTACAAAAAAGGTAATGATGTCCTGTATTATTATTCACATACAGGTGTAATATTACTAATAATTCTAATAATATTTTTTATAAAACAAGTCAGACTTCATTTATATATAACTAATAACCATTATTTTATAGTGAAAACACAATTACTTTAAAGATCCTTAATTTAGGAAAAAAAAAATTATTTCATGAAATTTTTAATTTGGGTAAGACTAACTTTTTTTATGAAACATCACTATATCATTTTATTCTTAAAAATAATAAACAAAAAAAAAAATATTATACATAAAATAAGTGCATTCGGTCAAGTATTGGAAATTCATACAATTGTCCAATAAATTATTCAATCAACTAAAATCAAAAGTGGTCAAAATGTGAAAATAATTATTCGTATAAAAAATCATCAAAGCTTTATATAATGCTATGTCCTAATGTTATAACACGAATTATGTAATTTTCATATCATGAACTTATAAAGACATGAATAAATTAACTCATGTAAAATAACCTAACATTAACTTTAAAAAATATGTTTTTCTGTATTGCACACCTTGTCCCTCAAATGTTTCAATGAATTACATAACACTATGTGTTGATAACTAAAATAATAAAATATATATCCATTTTACGATTAATAAAAAATCCAAATTACATAAAATCTGTAAATATAAGTAATTATAATTATTGTTTTTTTTTAATTCAGCAGTTTTCTTAAAGTATATATTCTTTAAAAAAAAAAAAAAAAAAAAAAAAAAAAAAAAGACGTCCATTCGATAAACTAATATCACGAACACATTTAAATTTAAAGACTTGTAATTAAATTTTTAAGTCAAATACGAAAAATTTAACAAAAATACATGTATTTGAAAAATATAATAGTAAAATGTGCACTTATTCAATAAAATATTTTTTTATTAATCAATATTTTAATAAATCAAATTTAAAAAGGAAAATTAAATTTTGTGTGCATTTTTAAGTCAAATATTTTTCGATTAATCAGTTGCCTTGCCTATATTAAATTACATAAACAAAAACATGAACATTCTTTTAAATTAAAAAGGAATAATGTTTTATATAATTTAATAAACTAACTTGTGTGCCTTAAAGTTTATAAAAATGACTCTTTAAAAATGAATACCTTTATTAAAAAATATAAAAATTATATCCATCATTTTTCAACCTAATTTTGCAGAATTACAATTTTGTACAATGCTATTTCAATTAAGTCATAAATTATTAAAATCTCTTTATCAAATGTAAATGAATATTTTATTTTTACCCTTTTCATTTATGTATAAATTAATGGAAATTGTGAAAATGAATAGACCCACACAATATATTTTTTACTATTTCATTTACATGAATAAAACACTATTTCATAAGAGTACACATTTTATGAGTTCATGCAAAATTATATTATTGGATCAAAAATAAGGTGTTGCGATGCCTTTATTGTAAAGATCCATTGTACTTAAATCATCCATAGGAAAACTCATGAATTACCTTGTTTTTATAATAATCTATATTGTATACATAACTATATAATACGTATATATGCATTAATAACCTATAAAAATCGAAACTATGTGTATATATAATAAATAGTTGAAATATGCGAGCTAAATAAAATAAGAAAAACGAATAACTCCAAAAAAAAAAAAAAGGAAACTAATAAAAAAAAAATTATAAATGGCGGAAATAACCTTATTTACATATTTTATAACTCAGTACACATAATAGAAATAATTTGTTAATTTACTTATTTTTCTAATTGATAAAAATGTCACGCTTTCTTCACCGATGATGCGACAGCGTTGTTTCAAATAAATGTTTCTTCTTATATTAAAATAAAATAGCATAAATTTAAGTGAATTCACTTATATTTTAACCAATTTGAAACACTTCAAAATGAGATAAGGAAAATTAAGTATATGTTTATTTGAAATAATAAAGCGCTAATATATAATGTAAAAAATTTAAATACAAATGTAAAAATTAAAAAAAAAAAAGATTAATTTTACACCAAAATTTTCTGTATTTTCTACGAATAACTTATTTCTCTCATGCTAGAAAATGTGCTCATAAAACTTAAAAAGTAGCTACAACTTATTTTGCCACTTAAAAATATGTATGTTGCTCGATAATATAATTTTTTCATTTTACAAATAAATTTTTATATATATAGAATGATGCTATAAATTTTAATAAAAAAATGTACTTTAAATTATATATTTTTTTTTTATATTCTTTTTTTAAATACATTAAATATTTGGAGAATTATTTACTTTCTTGGAGTGTTAATTCTGTATAAATTATACTAAAATTATGTGGCAAAATATATTCCGTGATAAAAATAAATTAATATTTATTTTATGGCATAAGCCTCAATAAATAACATATAAAATATATATATAATACATACGAATGTATTAATTGCAATTTGTATTACCCCAATTAATTCTTTAATTAATGACCATTTTTATTATTGCTCGTTATTAATATTTATACGGAATAAAATGAAATTTCAAAAAATTTCTACAACAGTAAAAATAGCATTACATTTTAATGTAACTTTTTTAATAAAATTGTTGTATTTTTTGTATTAATATAATATGAATATTAAATTCATAAAAACATTATTTATTATACATACGTGTTTATTATTCAGTATATATTACATTTTCACCTAAATATTAATGAACTTATTTAAAGTTATATGTGTGATAATTGTTGCATTATTAGCATGCTTTTTTGCAAAAAAAAATTAATTAAAGAATCATATAAATAGTTTGAAGAAATATATATTGTATGCCCGGAAAATAACTTTTTTACGAAAATATCATTTCTAACCTATTTCTTTGTGCATAGTCCTGTAGTACCCATAATTAATACAGAGCTCTCGCATATTGAGAATTATTTTAATAATAACAAACGCGATGGTTAATACTTCCTTTAATATTAGAAACTCTAAAAAGAGAGTGATCATAATGAAAACACAAGACATTCACTAAGCATATGTGAACATCACTTTGTAATATGTTTTCGTAATGGAAAAAAAATAAATAATTATTTAAAATTTTTTTTGTGTGTGTCACGTAATAATAATTATTAATACTTAAAATACATAAATGGAAAAAGCATAAGCACTTCTACAACTCTGTTAGTACTTGAAATTGTATTGGATCAAAAGATATTAATAATAATAGTTAAGTATATAAGTAATCGTAGGGAAAATGTAAAATTTTGCTTCATGGACCAATACATGATAAAGACAAAGAAATATATTAAAACAATAATGGTAAAAGTACAGAAAATATAAAACATTAAAGAAAAGTATTATCAGAAAAATACTCCAGATGAATCATCCCCTAGCTTCTTTTATTAATCTTTAAATTTTTCGTATCAGAAAGCAATGGAAAACTATTTTAATTCAATAAAAATTTATAAAGTTTTCATACTGCAGATCTCAGTTGCAATGGCACAGGATGGAAAAACAGTGACAATAGATGTTACCAAGTTTACAGAAGCGGTAAATAGTGTTATGTCATCTGCACAGGTTTCACTAAAAAATGCATTTAATACAAGTGATAATTTTTTTCATTTTCTTAATCAAAAAATAATTAAGGCGCTTAAAGGAGATGAAAGTGCTTGGCAAGATCCCAAAATTACCATCCCACTTGCTGTGTTTATTCTTTTCGTGATTTTTGGTGTCTCTTTTATTATCATGTCTAAGGTAAATAAAAACTATATTAAAAGAAAAAAAAATTTCATAAAAATGAATATATATATTTTTTTTTTTTCATGAAAAATTTATATTATATTATATATATATTGTGTATCATCCAATTTTTCCATTTTTATATTATTAGTATCTTTTACGTAAAAAGAAATCTAGTAAACGTAAAAAGCATTTGGAACGAACTTCAAAGTATGACCCTTCAACACAGTCACCAGAAGAAGGAATGGTGGATGAATTGTTTGTACCTCCAGAAGTCTATCGAACTCCAATGTTATGTCCACAAATGTATCAAAATCCAATGTTGTATCCACAAATGGCTCAAACGCAAATGCTACACCCAAACATATCACCATTACAAATGCAGCAATTACAAATGCAACAGTTGCAAATGCAACAATTACAGATGCAACAATTACAAATGCAACAGTCGCAAATGTTACATCCACATATGTCACAATTACAAATGCTACATCTGCAAGAACAAAGTCCTAGTGAATATGAACAAATGCAACATAATCAATATGAACAAGAACAATATGAAAAAGAACGTTGGATACAAGATCAATTGCTACAACAACAGTTGCAACAAGAACAGTATGATGACGAAGAATATGATCAAGAAAATTTGCACGAAGATCATTGGTTGGATGATGATATGAAACAGGAAAAATTGCGACAAGAACAATGGCTACAAGAACAATTGCAAGAAGAGGAAATGCAAGAAAAAGAAAAAAATGAAATAATAAAAAGAAGAGAAATAAAAGAAAAACGTGAAAGCATTGGAGAAAGCCAAGGAAATGAAAAAAGTGACATAAAAGGAAGAATAGAAAGGAAAGAAAAAAGTGAAAGGAATAGCGAAAGTGAAGGGAAAGGAAGAATAAAAAAAGAAAAAAGTGATAGTAATAGCGAAAGTGAAGGGAAAAGGAGAAGAATAAAAAAAGAAAAAAGTGATAGTAATAGCGAAAGTGAAGGGAAAAGGAGAAGAATAAGAAAAGAAAAAAGTGACAGTAATAGCGAATGTGAGGGGAAGAGGAGAAGAATAAAAAAAGAAAAAAGTGACAGTAATAGCGAAAGTGAAGGGAAAGAGAGAAAAGTAAGAAAAAAAAATAGTGACAGTAATAGCGAAAGTGAAGAGAAAGAGAGAAAAGTAAGAAAAAAAAATAGTGACTGTAATAGCGAAAGTGAAGGGAAAGAGAAAAAAGTAAGAAAAGAAAATAGTGATAGTAATGAAGACAGTGAAGGAAAAGAAAAAAGATATAGAAAAGAAAATAGTGATAGTAATGAAGACAGTGAAGGAAAAGAAAAAAGATATAGAAAAGAAAGAAGAGCAAGAAAAAAAAGAAGTGAAAGTATTGAACTAAATGAAAGTATTGAACTAAATGAAAGTAGTGTACGAAATGAAAGCTGTGAGCAAAATGAGAGAAATGAAGATTGTGATACTAATGAAATAAATGGAAGTAGTGAATATAATTTAACGCCAAATGAATATTCCAACATTGAACATACAAGTTCAAACGAGGATATACTTTATCTAGGATATCACCCAACATCCAAATAATATATTATAAGAACCCCCCCCAAAGTTATTATAACACTATTTATGTATTTATGCTAATTTAATGTAAAGGAAATACCATATACATTTTATTAAAATTTAATTAAAAAAATAAAATAAAATAATAATAAAATAAAACAAAATTAAAATAAAACACTGCGAAATTTTACATGAAAACGATAATATTTGATTAACAAGTGATTAACGAGTAATAAATTATTGTCTCTTTAAGTAGGACCATTTTGTTATAGATAAAATTTTATTGTTTTTTTTTCTCCATAAAATTAAAGATAAAACAGTTGGATATGTAAAGTATTAATTCTGATATTTCTTTTATCTAAATTTTTTTAAATTTTGTACAACAGTCCAATTGAAGAAGACGAGGTTTAATTAATGAATGTATGAATGCAAGTATAAGATAACGACAAATAATGGAACTATTTTTTACTTATATTTCTATTTATTCATTTAGAAGGATGTAAAATGTGAAAATATTAAATAATAGTATCAGGTTTAGAAACTTTAGATAATCATTAGGTATATTATATAGTATGTGCAAATATACCTTAAGCAGTACAAAAAGAAAATATGACTGTTGTGCCATTCCCCTAATTGAGTTAATAATTATGTGACGAATTTGCAGTGTTATAGATCAACACAGAAATAGAATACATAGCATATGTCGTAGGTCTATAAAAGGGGTATAAATTGAAAAAAGAAGACAACATTGTTAAATGAATTAAATTAATTATATACGTTGTAAATATAAAATGTGGGGGAAAAAGATTTAAAATATGCATACATGCATACCATACACGCATATAATTCATGTAAATTAATCCCATATATTTAATATCCATTTATAGTGTATAAAAAAGTAATGAGATATAAGTTACTATAATTAAAAGGGGATTTTAGCAAAAAAACAAAGATATGAAATATGGAAATACTAAATTTAATGAAATAATTGAATATTTCAAATGTTCCTTATGTTATATAATATGAATAATATTAATAATGAGTTATTAACATTAGAGTCGAATATACAAAAAATATATAAATATATAGGACAAAATGTATATGCCACCCAATATAAATATTTAAGTTTGTAAATACAAAGGGCGTATTTGCATTTAGTGTGAATATAACAATTTCCAAATATTTCGAAGGTTTTATTGAAACTAATATTCAAAAATATACTTAGTTTATTATAAAATAACAAATTCATTTATTAAAATATTAAATGTTGATTTGTTTTTTCATGAATAGTTTTTCTTTTGATTAGTAAATTTTGGTGTATGTCTATAGTTTACATGTTATCGCATAACACTGTTGCCATTCCATGATATTTGATACAAGGAAATACAAAGCTTTGTACTTACGATATATTTCTCAGTTAATCAGATTATGCATCAAAAAATCCAGAAATTATGTAATATTATAAATGAAAGATAATAGTGTAAATTTATGTGAGAAACGTCAGCTTTATTAGGATAATCAGTTTTCTAGAAGATAACACCTACCTCATTTGAAATAAGTGAAACATATAATTATTCTGGAAAAGATCATTTCCAACTTTTGATCAATAAAATGTTTCATTCAGGAATTTATAATTTTTTTTTACTTGAAAGAAAATGGAATAACATGTACACTAAAAAGTTTTATATACCAATAAAATGTGTTTAATACTGATACATTAACATGTATAGGTACCTTGCAATTTTTATATATAATTTTCCTCTTTAGCTTTTTTTTTTTTTTTTCTTAATATTTGTTCTACATAAGTCATATTTGTTTTATTTGTAAAGAAGAAAAACGAATAAAAAAATTCAATCAATGTAATTATGTTTTTATTTAGTTATTTATGACTAAATTTATTTGCTACGGTGCCACAGTGAAGACGTATGTTTTTTTTTTTTTTTTTTTTTCCCTCACTGTTCTTGCTTAAATGTACAGAACCTTTATGGTCTTATATTTATGTGAATATTTGTAATATATGACTTGAATTTGTATATCTACACGAAGCATTATTTTACATGATAATTTTATAAATACTGTCATTAATTTGTTTTTTTTTTACACATCCTATCATATGTCTTACAGGTTTACCTATTCCAACATTCCCGTACCATTAATTGTTGAAACTTTTCTTATTTAACAAAGTGTGAATATGCATCATCTATGTATTAGTTTTTTTTATTTTTCTTACCGTCTAACATCATCTCATATTTGTAAATATGTAATAACATGCAAGTACGATTAAAAATATAATTGTAAAATTTTTCAATGAAATTTTTTATATTATAAAATTCGTTTTTTTTTTTTTTTTTTTTTTTTTTTTTTAAAGGAACGTAAATGTTTCTTTTCCACTTCCCATACTTGACTCATCAACTTAACCCACGACTAAATGTATAGAATATTTTAAACATCCCAACAATATTCATATTTTTGTTCTTTAAATTAATTGTACCATATTTTTCTACTGAAGAAGGGGTATTAAAAAGCTGTTCTTTATGATATAAAATGTAATTATATATTCAGTGTTCATCATAACATTCAACATGCTTGTTGAAGATCAATAAATTTCCTTAATTCTTTAACTAATGATTTGTAATGTCAATTAAAGTCTCAATAAATTTTAAACAGAATAATGTACATGTTAAGAATTACAGTACGGATTCATGGATAGAGAATTTATTCTAACATCAACCCTAATACCCTTCTCCCCCATGCTTTTTGACAAATGAAATTTTAAATTTTAAAATATAATCAATCGAATAATATTTTTCTACATATTATTCATCTAAAACATTTGCTGTTTTACTGTTAATTTATTGCTTCACTAATCATCACTAAAAAAGGAGAAAAAATTTCCATGTGTTCTTTGTAACCAATGGTTTAATTCTTAAATTTGTGACAAAAGCCCTTTTATATTAATCGGAGAGTTTTATTATAAATGTCTAGTAATTAGGAAATTATATTTACAATACCATCAATAGAAATAATGGTATTTAATATTTTAAACTAATCTGCTTATTTTATTACTGTGATTTGAAGTTACATTGCATTTTCCATAATGAAATTTCATTAATATTGACATAGAATAATTAAGTATACTTTCATTATAAATTTTCTTAAATTATTATTTAACAAACTAATTTAATCATTACTGTATGCTCTACAAAGACGAGTTAAAAAAATGAACGCAGCAAAAATAATACAATTTAAGCTTAGAGAAGATAACATATAAAAGAAAACATTGATTGACATATTTTCTCATTGTAATAAATAATAATGAATTGCAAAAAATAATTACTCATGTTATAAAGTAATTTCAGTCGTAAATATAATCTACATACAAATAACACTCATTTTCTCTGTCTCCATAGATAAAATGAAAACTTAGCTTATAAAAAAAAGTAAAAGATTGTTTATATAATTGTATAGGATTGCCATTAAATGATGAAATTCTATATCACACAATAAGGCAAAGAATGAAAACTGATAAAAGGATAACATTTTAAACGGTTAATGATTTTTTTCAACACGTAATCTTGTCAATTAAAATGTAAACGAACAACACATTTTTCATAGCACATAACAATTACACACAAAATATATAACAATTCCTTTCCCTCCTCAGTAACAATGTAAAACATTATCTTTAAAAGAAACATTTTTACTCAAATAGTATAATATTTTACAGGAACATTTTCAAAACCTCAGTAGTATGTAACATATTGACAATCAATAATGTTTTGTTTCAACAAAATAAATCCTACCCATGAAGTTGTTAATCGCAAATTCATTCATTTTCGATATATCTCTACGTAATTGTAAAGGTACTGAATTCAAATTAGAAATTACATATTCATTATATAATCAGCTTCTTTTTTTTTTTTTTATAATAAAAATGTTAACACAACACATTTCTTTTGAAAATTTAGTCATTTTTTTATCAAAACAATTTTACTTTTTTTTAATCAATAAAAGTATTAGGCAAAAACGTAAAAAAATTAAAATTATTCTAATATATGTAAAAACGAACATACTTAAATAAAAAAAATAAGAAACAGAGATAAATATCGAATATTATAATGATGTTCAATAAAAATCATGTTTAAACATTGTTTTCCAACTAAAATTTAATAGAATACTATAATTTCCTTCTAATTTTATATAATCACTATTTTTAATTTTTTTTTCCCCATAGGATTCAATTACCCATATTGAAAAAGTTCTTAAGATCTATTAAGGAAAGTAACTTACGTACTTAAAATAAAATACCATTGTTTCATGCTTCTATATATATAAGCACTAATATATAGCTAATCTGCTGTAAAAGAAACCATTTAACACATTTTTATTGATATGTTTTTCAAATCATATTACATTTTAGCAATATTTTGTAGTATATAATAATTTTTTTTTAAGTACTACTTCAATTTTGTGAAAATTAACAAAAGATAAAACGTCAAAATGAATACAAATTATTGCATTGTTAATCTTCTAATTTCTTTTTTCAAGAGCACATAAAATGAAAATTATATACATTAGTAGTGTACCTAGCTTCAATATATGTAAAAAATACAACATAAGCAGGTTATACTTTTTTATTCTTTAGAACAAATAATATGCTTTACCCAAGTGCAAATTTATTTGAAAATGGTATTATCTCATTTGAGGAAATATTAAAATTTTATTAAAAATTATCATCATATTTTTACTTTATAAAAATTGTGTATATTTCATGATTATCGCTCTTTATTAATTCATTCTATGCATTTTTTTTTTTTTTTATATAATCCTTTAAACGATAGAGAAAAGTACAAACTGTGAAAAATAATTGAACTCGAATTAGTTGTAAAAACCGACAACAGGAAAAAATTAAATCAGAGAAAAATGAATTGTTCTAAAAAGAACTAAAGTTTATTAAAACAACCTTCTGTATATTTCTAACGATAAACATAATATAATTTAAAATTTTATTCTTTTTTTTCTAATTAAAGAAAATTTCACTTTTACCAACTATTCTTTAATTCGATAAATATTTTATATTTTAAATTAGTTTAATATAGATCTAAATATATTTACAAATTCTTAAAATTGAATATTTTAAAACAGGTTAAGTAAAGTTAAATACAACTTTGGTTTAATTTAAACAATGTTATACTGTGACATATATAAATATTTAATGAATTCCTGGTTTAGAAAAAGCATTTATCCACATATAATAAAATTCCTATAGTCGTAACGAATAACCCTTTTACTCCTAACATAATTTTCTGAGGATTTCAAAACTTGCAAATTAAAGGACCGTGTATTTTTCATACAATACACTAGTTTTAATTATTTAAAAGCACTTTAATATAATTGTTCCTTTTTTAATAGGTAGGTTAGTTATTAGAATAATTTAATAGATAAATACAGATATATAAAATTCATAAAAAAAATAACAAAACAAAGAAGTATCCTTCCTTCTTTATCCCCCTCATTAAAGCACCAAGTTCTAAATTGCCTTTTCATTATTAAAAGAATTATATTCCTATTTAATTTGCTACCCTTTTAGATCACTATTCCATAATGATTAAATGAGCAACACTTGAAATAATCTAAACCATAGTAATGATCTTACCATTTATATGTAGATATAATATTTGCCTAATTTATTTATCAAAGGGGGTTATTTAATTATTATTATTTTTTTGTCACTTTCTTTTGTTTCCTGTAAATTAAAAAAAAATAAAATAAAATAAAAGCGCACGAATTGCAGAATTATCGCTTGTTTTGTATTTTAACCAATTGTTTTCAACAATCACTTGGATTTCATTTACTTTCTCATTTCTCATAAGGAGAATCATAAGTGTACATAGAGCATTACTTTTTTTATAGTACCGATACAAAATAATAAATATATGTGTTCTATTCCCCTTAACCTTTATAAAATTCATTCCTAATTCATTTTTAATCTTCTACTAAACTTTTGAAAAAAATTAATGACAATTAGAAAATGAATATATTTTTTTCATTAATATTAAAATGTAAAAAAAAAAAAATTACGTATTATTAAAAACACTATTTCGTTAATATCTGTTTGGTTAAAACGAATTGTAATCCATCAATGATATGCGCTTTGTAAAGTGGAAGTTACACTGAAAACAACAAATGCAATGACCTATATATATCCACCAGCGTAGTCAATTATGTAATGAAATTAATTCTGAGTGAAAGGAACGCAAAGACATCACCAAATCGGGTGAGAAAGCTACCTTGCTCTTTTTTCTATTAGCAGAAAAGTATCTTACTATTCATTAATTTTATTATCTTTCAAGGGGAGATCTACATATGTTGAAATGTATAAAAAGAATTTCCATCATTGTATTATTCTTTACAATACTATTGGTAAAATAATATGAAGAATAGTAACAAGGAACTAAAAAAGCAATTTCAAAGTTATAAAGAATTTTGTTACAAACAACTATATTATAAGAGTAACATTTTATGCCTAAATAATAAAGGTATATATACAGACATTGCAAAGGTATTAAAAAAATGTAGACATAGCATAGTCAAAAAAAAATTACCATTTAACTTAATAAAATTTTCATCAAAAATCCGTCGTTATAATGATACAACAAATTTATTAATATTAGTAGGAGTATATAATGTTTTTATATTACAATTTACAGTTGCAAATGCAGAGGATTCGGTGTCACGACCTGTACAAGGTGAACAAATGTCTAATGGTACTACAACAGTCAACATTACAAAAGAAGCAGCTAAGGTTGGGTTGATGTCCGGCGTACAAATCGCTCAGATTACAAAATGCATGGTTGAAAGTATTATTGATCTTATTAAATGCTTGATTAATAAAGGTACAAAATTTGATTGCTCAAAAGTAAATAGAATCATTTTACTTTTAGTTGTATTTTTTCTGGTAACAATTATAGCGATATACATTATGTATCCGGTACGTAGACCTTTCATTTCAAAAACTATTCCATGTTATAAAATAAAATCTACAATTTATTACGTAATTTATGTTTTTATTAAAATATTTAAATATTTTATATGTGTCTTACATTTTTTACTTCTATGTTAGCGTACACCATCTAAAAAAGCGAACGTAACATATTACTACAGCTGTCAGGATGCAAATTGTGAATATTATTATCAATATACACAACATGGAGAAGAAATGTGCATAGAAAATATAGATGAACACTCAGTATCATCAATAGACTCAATGGAAGACACGGATTGTAATGCACCAAATCAAAGAGTTAAAAAGGGTGAGAAAGAGAAAAGCGAAGAGAAAAATAAAGAAAAAAAAAATGATAACAATAAGGGTAATAAAAAGGACCAAAAGGAAAAGGACAAAAAAAATTCGTCAAATAAAACTCCTGCACTTCAAAGTAAATGTTCAAAAAATGATAATTTTACTGTGGGATATAATCCAACACCAAAATGAGGTTTATCATAAAATAATAGACAGCCTCAGATTAACTATCTATAAATCACTTTAATCATAAAACAAATGATGTATTATTTTTAATTTTATTCAAAGAAAATATGTAATATTACAATTTATAATGTAAACGTCAAAAAAATGCAAAATATACAAATAAAAAGAAATTTATATAATGAATAATAGACATAAAATAAGAATGCATAATTTTGTGCTTATGTAGCATCGATGAATTAGGATAATTTTAATAATTACACTCCTTTGGTTATATTAAAGACAATAATGTAAAATACTAAATGTCTAATGAACTTTCCACTTAAGTAACCCATAAAAAAGGTGTGTATTATAAAGGAATTAGGTCAAATAAGGAATAGTACAAACAAATTAAATATGTATATACATACATATATATGTATGTAGTATGTATTAGTATTAGAAAATTTTGTGCAAACGTTTAATTTATTAGTGTATGTTAGAGAAAAAAAAAAAAAAAAAAAGAAGAAATGCTTGAAACAAAAATACAGGGAAAATATAAAGGAAAAATTATATATGTGTAAATATATATATATAATTTTCCCTTCACACTCTAAGGACATCAAGGGAGTTGATAACTAGTAAATATGAAGTGGGATGGTAAACAATGTGCAACACAATTATTACGAAGTTGTATATAAACATAATGATAAAACATTCTATTTAATTGGAAATGTGTGTATGATGACGTAATAAAAATTAACAAAAAAATATTTATTGTACAAATCTAATTTATGAAAATACATATGAATAAAAAAAAAAAAAAAGGTTCTTAAATTATTCAGATGTCCAACAAACACGTTATGATTATATATCCATGTGTTCAGATTTGCGAACATTCTACACCTACATGATTTATCAATTTTAATTATATAACTATGACGATAATACAACCAAAATAAATTCAAAATATCAAGAATAAAATTAAAGGGCATCCAAATGTTTTGATTTATAGAAGTATATATTTTCCCCTAATTTTATGAAATTTCTACAACTAGGTATACATTTTGGTACACAAAATTTGATGATCGAATTTACAAAGAGGAATGTAAAATATATAAAGTAATTATAAACACATTGTGGAACTATTAAAGATAGAATATCAGAATCTCATATTAAATTTTATATGTAATGAAATTATTAACAATGTCCCTGGATTCAAGTCTTACTTGTGTACGTTGAAGGATGATTTAATGTATTTTCAATGCTTTGGGTAGAATAAAAAATATATGGATTGAATTCTTACAAAATTGTAAAAGCAATTGGGAAAGCATATATTCCACATGTTATTCTTAAGTTACGGAAAGATAAGAAATGTTACACAATAAATATATTATGAAAGATAATTATATGTATATTTCATATAATATACATGGATGATGATTGTCAGTACGAATTTCTTATTGTTTATAGGAATAGCATAAATTGATATATATAGCGAGCTTATATTTATAAATAATATCTCAATTTGGTAACTGTATTGAAGTTCATAACAGGGCATCAAAAGTTAGTAAATATTTATTAAGTGAAAAGTTGAAGTTTTGTGAAATTTTCTTTAATTCAATAAATACTGTTTAAATATGTATGAATTCTTATGAATGTTCTAAATGTAGAAGAAGAAAAAAAAAAAAAAAAGGTTAATTGTTTTGTTCAATTTTCTAACAATTCTCAGAGGAAATATGTTGAAGAATTCACATAAATATAGAACAATTTTTTTTTCTTATTTTATTAGGACAATTTAATAATCACTTTTATTAAAACAACACATGGTTTAAGCAAATGCAAATTATAAATCATTCACTATCCTTTAGCGTGGATTATTATTCCACTTCAGTTACATTTTCCTTGCTTAAAAGAATAACATGAATTGCAGAATAATATTGTTTACTATTTGGCTGCGTTGTTGAGAATTATCTCATATTCTTTATCTCTGCAATAAAGAGGTAGAAGACATGATGAAAAAAATTCACTAAAGAGTAATATATAGTACTATATTTGACAAATTCCGGGTTCTATGTCTTGGTATAACATTATATCTATTTGGAACTACGTTGACATATATAGAAGAAATAAAAAGATGCAGTTATAGTTATTCTTTCATAAAAGTGATTAATAAAAAAAATTTGCTTCAAGTTCATTTTTTTGTATGAAATAAAAATTGGAGTGAATAATGTATTCATTTGAAATGTTTCTTCTACAAAAAAATTCCATATAAATGTGCAATTGCTTGTTATTTTATATTTGAAACGTGTTACATATCCATACCCTTACATATCAACCGATTAATTTTATTTTTTTATTGTTTTTTTTGTTATTTTTTTAATATCTCAATCCGAGTTTCCTACCACACCAACGCAATATGTTTTGCAATTTGTTTATGTATACCTCTGCTTTTTTTTTTTTTTTTTTGTTCTACATTATGGACTACTTAAACATACCTTCTAAATATTTTAAATATGTTTAATCCATTCCACAGTATAAATACTGCTAAATTTATGCATTAGGAAATTCTTCATTTGTATGCGAACAAAAGCAGATAAAAACTTATTTTAACATTAAATCAAATGTAATGTGTGGAAAAAATAAACACATAAAATTATCAAGTTGTCAGCGAGAAAAATGAAGAAACTCATAAAAAAACTACATGTATATGGTCTCAAAGCATAAGTCTTTATAACAACGTTTTTTTTTTTTTTTCACAGTCATTTGTATTATTTACAATATATATAAAAATATGCAATTTATTTTACTACGATTTAGTAGGATTTGAATACTTCCCAATGTATTAAAGTACATAAGCATCACTACTTTAATCGCAAACAAGATCGAAACTTTATCTATTTTGATCAGTTAACTTCTCAAATATGCGTGATAATGCATATCCTGTTACATAGTTTCAACTTATGGACAAATTCGTTACAAAATTCTTAGTCATAAAAATGATAACTAATTTCTGTATTCATTTTGTTACACTTTGTTTTGTCTCACTTCTAGTTTCATCCATAGAATACATAATAAAAAAAGAAATAACTATGTGCAAATAGTTAAGTTCCCATTATAAATAAATTTTATATGTACGTTTGACAAGTAGTAAGAGTCTATATTATCTCAATTAAAATTAAAATTCTTTCCATAAAATTTTGCACATACATATAATTGAGCAAAAATTAATGGTCATCTTACCTTACATTTCATGAAAGCTATATGCATATATTAATAGAACATTTTTTACACTTCTTTTCTGTACACTTTTGTTCTTTACCTTTTTTCTCTGCTATTTTTTCTCAATTTTATTCATGTTTCATTTTATCTGCATTTCTATAACCCCTATTTTTGAACCATGTATATTTAACGCTTATTTCCTAAAATAAGACATATTCATGTGGATATATTCGTGGAGGAAAAATAATAAAATGAATGTAGCAAAGGAGTTGACGTCACATAACGTTAACAACAAGTGTCAACCAATTCTTGCGTTTTAAAATAAATAATGATCGAATTTAAATTTTCGTTTGTTTTTAATATATAATTATAGTATATTAAAACACGCTGTAATTATGATACATTTTATGTAGTGTGTATACTTTCATCCCAAATTAAATTTTTATTGTGTGATGAAAACTTGCATTTTTTTTTTTTTTTTTTTTTTTTTTTCTGATAATTTGATCTCTAGTAAATAAAAAAGTACTTGCTTCAAAGTGGCAATATACTTGTAATTGTGTTAAATATCTTTTTTTATAATGAAAGCAATTTCTTAATTTGTGCATTAAAAATGAAACATTTGTTCTTAAGAAACCTTTTTACATTCAAAAACGAAAAGCTTATGCACTTGAATTCATTGTAAAGGGGCTAAAAAGGACTAGGAATATTTTATATCTTTTATTCAATATATATTCTACCTTTCTTATAAGCCAAACGGGAAATGACAATCTTAAACGCTTAAATAGTAAAATACATTTAGGAACACTTGATTTATCCGTGGAAAATAACAAAATTGTTATGCACACCTAACTATAAAATAGTGTAAATGTAGTGAGGATAAAGTTCTAATAAGTTACCTTATACTCAAAATAAATTATAAATAATAATTAATAAAATATACTATAAACTAATCTTTAACGTGAAATATATATATATATATAAAAAAAAAAAAAAAAAAAAAAAAGGGATTCTCAAAAAAAATATTAAAAAAATATATGCAAAGTATGTATAATTAAAATAATATATATTCTTAAAATCAATATGTGGGGAAAATAAACTTTAACATTTTTCTTTTGCGATTTTAATCTACAATATAGGTACTCAAATAACATTGTCTTTTTCGCAAAAAAAAAAAAATATGTTAACCTAGATCAGTTGAATATTTTTTAAAACGCTGAATTCATCATATCGTTTGCCCTTTTACACGAATTGTTAGTATACATAATATCAGTATACCTCATCATACTCATTCATATTCTAATTAATTCATTATCGAACTATTCTGTATGTTTAATTTTTTGTTCTCTTATCTGACACGTGTTCATTTTGTCTTAAAAAAAATTGAACTTTATTGTAATTATCACTGTAAATTATCCATTACAATAAAATATCTTTTCTTGTTTTCTTTCCTTATTGAAGGAATTTCTTCAATTTTTTATTCCACATTATGGAGAAGCTCATTTATTATGAACTCCAATGTGTTTTAACCAATTTTTGTCTGTTTATTAGTACTAATAGCGTCATTATTTTATTATATCATTAAACCTGAAGTGAAAATGCATCCTATTCCATATAAAGAAAAGCATGTGCATTTTTTTGTATTTTCCATTTTATGCTACATAAATAACATATATTTTTTTCCAAAAATAAAGACATATAATCACATGTTAAAAAATTAATTCTTTATTGCCATGTCTGTTGTTAGGATTATTTTGTAATGGTATGATGTTCTTTCTCTTTTATCGTTGTGTGAATTGATAACATTAATT